AAAGTGATTAATCGGGACGTATTAATCATTTATTGGGGGCGGCACTGCAACATACTTGATCTTCTCTCTCGGATGCTAGTCTAAACATTAGCTCGGGCTGTGATCGAAGGATGAAGCACAAACTCTGACCGATGTCATCGCCGTCGCGGTTGTACAATACCGCAAACATTTAACAGTCACATTTAAAAAACCTGCTGTACGTCGACATTCATATTATTATTTTTTTTCAAAATTTTTTTTTTTGGGGGGGGCCCCCCCCCCCCCCCCCCCCCCCCCCCACGTGCCAGCGAAAGAGCACGGGCAGGCCAATCCAGAAAGCCGGAGCGGCCATTAGAGTTTTACCTATATATACTATGTATTTTGAAAAAAAAAAAAGGAAAAAAAGCTTGTGTTCTGGCCCGTTGTCGTGAACTCTGTATCGTCTGATATATCCACAGTTCCGTCCAGTCTCATCTCGCAGACGGGCTAAAAGGCTTGGAGTATGAGGCTCACGAGAATGGCAGCACTTTATGGGGCTGGGAAGGAGGGGAGGGGGTGGACGTATTGAGTGAATCTTCTCTTCTAAGACCAAAGCTTGGCCCGGTCGTGGGCGAATAATGGTTCCCATCCGGCGGCTGGTTGATTTTCTCCGCGAGGGTTGCCAGAAACCATTGATGACAAGCACCAGAAAGTATCCCGAGAATGCCCAGCCTGCCCCCCCGTGACAGACACTGATAAATGATCCCTCCCAAGAACTGAGGCGGACACCGGCACCCGCTATTAGGCTTGCGGATGACTCACTTCAAGCAACCGGAGCCTCTCCTCCTCCCTTGGGATCCGGTCCCGCATCGGACGAAGGCGGGCCGCCGCCGCTCTCGTCCATCCAACCCACCTGGCGGAAGATCCTCTCAAACACGTCGAACTCCAAGTCTACAATGGTGTCGTGGTCGGCCCCGGAGACGACGCAGCTCGAAAAGTCGATGCGGTCGCCGCGTCGCTCGGCCCGCCAGCAGTCCTCGAACCACCTGGGCCCCTCCCTGGTCCCGATCATGTGGTCCTCCTCCGCAAAGTACACGTCGACCTTCAACCTCGCGCCGTCCGCCGGCGGGCCGCCGGCGCCCAACTCCGCCTCCTTCTCGGCCAGCAGCGTGACGAGTTGGTCGTGGTCCTCCCACGAGCCCCAGTACCCGGGGTGCTCCGCCCGCTTCAGCAGCAGGACGGCTTCCTCGCTGAGGCCCTGCACGCTCCCCGCAAACACCTTGTCGATGACGCGCTTCCAGATGGCCTGCTCGAACGCCGCCAAGCGCGAGTCAACCCCCGACGCCGCGGTGGCCGCCGCCGGGGCGGGGTTTGCTCCCCATATCGACGGTAGCAAATCGCTGACGGCGCGGATGCCGACACCGCTGAACGCGGTCACAGGTGCGACGTTCCGCTGGAAGAAGCCGGTGAGCGTGTGGAACCGACCCAGCACGGCGTCGGGCAGCGCCGCGGCGGCCCGCATGGTCGCGACGCCCGAGTGCGACGGGTGGACCCAGGGCGCCGCGAGCGCAATGTACGGGTGCGTGGGGGAGAGGAGGTGGCGCTGGTGCAGCAGGATGTTGAGCGCGTAAATGGTGCCGCCGCTATGCGCGACGATCGAGACATGGCGGACGCCGAGGTGGTGCAGGAGGGCTGGCACAATCTCGAGCCAGATGCGGACGCGGTCTGCCGCGGGGACGGGCGTCGTCCCGCCGAACCCCGGCCTGTCCGGGTTGATGACCCGTACGTGGTGTTGCTTGGCGAGGGCGTCCTTGACGACGTGGAGAAAGCGGCTGGGCACGGCTGTCAGACATCCGGCCCCGGTCGGAGGAATCGGAGGGGGGGTGGGGGCGAGGTGGGGAGCACGCAGGAGAGGGAGGCTTACCTGCCCATGAGAGGCCCGCAGATCAGCAGGACATGCTCGCGCTCCGGATTTTCCGGGTCCCGGTAGCCGTAGTCGCAGTACGTCACCTGGAACGGGTTCGGCCGGTCGGGGCCGGCGGGCAGGGTGAAGGTCTGGTGGAAGCGTGGGTCGTCGAGGAACCCTGCCGGGTCGTCGGGGGGGAGAGGAGATGCGCTCCGCCCGTCTGCCTCCTGCGAAGCCATTGCGGTCGACGGAGGGTGGGAGGCGTTGGAACGAAAGGGCTTCCTGGTTTAGGTAAAAGGGTTGGAAAAGCCGGGTGAGTGCGTGCTAGTTCGTGATGATGACTTTCTCTCGTTGGACATGCGTTTTTCTCCGTGCTGTGGAATGGCGTGAGATTTCCGGGCTTTATGGTCGCACCCAGCCCGGCTTATCTAGCGCCCTCCCGACTGCGCCACGCAACGGATGGTGATGAGGGTGGTGGATTCCCCACCTTCTTCTTCTTCTTCTTTTTCTTCAGTGCTTGTCTCTTGGCCGTGGTGTAATGTCCCGCTGATTGGCTCTCTGCACATGCCTTGCCGTTCGCCGGCTCAGGACGGGTTTCCAAGACAGAAGATGTTGACGTCCCCCGGAGCGGATGTTTGTGCGACTTCGACCTGAGTTGACGTGGTACATGTCCTTCAAGCATCAAAGATCATTAACTGTAGCAATCCACAAGGGGGGCTACAGGGGTGCGTAGCGATAACCCTAACCTTTTGAACAGAGACTTGATCAAGAGATTATATGCGAGAATAGCACTTCCGATTGATGGGGAGAGAATGGATTAGTTCTGCATGAAGGTTAGTTATATTGGGTGTGGATAATGACGTTGCAAAAGGGAAAACACCCTCTCTGGCACTGTGCCAGAGAGTGCGCGCCCATTTACGGACTCTAATTGCCCGTTCCTTCGGGCCATGCAGCAATCCTCCGCCGAGGACTGCAGCGGCGGCGCATCATCACCATTGGTCACCAACGGTACATGGGATGATAGGCGCTTGAACCGACGACAACTTGGATTGCTATGTTTTCCCGCCTCTATACACAAAAAGACGAATCTATGCTGCCCGACACCACCTCAGGCAGGCGTGTGTATTTCTATCCCGCCAATCCGGTCTTTCAAACTCCCCTTTCTTTATACCGATCAGATCCAAGAGCCAGCCGGTCCAAGAACAGTTTTGGGATGTTCTGATTGGAGTACCCAAGGTCTGTTCGCTATGACGTGCCAAAAGCCGAACAAGCTACAAAGAAGATATGTGTATGTTTATAATAGAACAATAAGAGGGACAAATGTAGTATGTGTTTTGACGTGCAACACCTGAAAGGTCATAGAAGGTTGTGTTCCATAGGTGGATAAAAAAGCAGCAAAAGAGAGAACGCCTCGCTCCGACGGCGACATTGTGCCGGTTTCCCCATCTAGCCTCGAAACCCGAATATGTATAGACAGAATGGACCAAAGGTTGTTTCGCGCCCACTTGAAGCTCGTCTCTTCGTAGCGGCAAGCCTGGCGTCGAAGAACCAAGTTCTCGGTCATCGGGATATCTCCCTCGGTCCGGCTCAAGTGCTTCGTATCCCGTTGCTTCAACTGCCAATGTTTTGTTCCCCACACAGCCAATATCTCACGAGCGAGCCCACGAGCCCCCGGTTTGAAGCAAGTCCTGTTCGTACATCATACACCATCATACTGCGTGAGTGCGTTTAGCCGTAAAACAGTTCAAACTGGGTCGCGAAGCCAGGCTCCGTCGGCTTCACCTCTTTGATGGGGTGGAGGATCATGGGCGGCAAGCAAGGACGACCATGCGCTTTCTCCCAGTTCTTGCCTCCAACCTTGGTGTCGACATAACCCATCCAGTTGTTGTACAGTCTTGGTGGAGGCTCGGCGCGGTAGTACCAGGTCATGCCCTGATATCTCCGCTCCCTTCCCCACCCCATAGGGCTGCCCTCACCACCACTTTCGCCGCGGGGTCCAGGGTTGAACCACTTGGCCAGGAAGGTGCCGTTCCAGGGACGGTCGAACCAGGTAGGGTGAGGCGCAAAGACGGTCTTGAATCCGTGGAGAAGAGCAACGGTCTGGGGGGTCATTTCTGACGCGATGTGGTTGCCGCGGAGGTTCTCCACGTGCATGATGTCCAAGAGGCGCTTGGAGACGCGAGACTGGGTGACAATGGTGGTGCGGCGAGGAAGGGTCTTGGCGGGGTCGGGGAACTGTTCGTCTCTGTAGCCCCAGATGTGGTCAGAGATAATCCAGCTGCTGTTGATCGGGTTGAAAATCGGGCCGACGGTGATCATGTCCGCATCCTCGCCGACTCCCCACTTGTACGGGTCCTTTTCGGGGTTCTCAACAGGAGGCTTGGGGCCGACGGGGTTGATGAAGGGCAGCTTGGGCGGGCCCCAAACCTGGTTGCCGCGGGTGCGCCGCTCGACGTCCTTGCGGAAGTCGGTGTCGTAGTCACCGTGGAATTCGGGGATGTAGTAGCGCTCGTTACGCTCCCACAGGCCTCTGCGAGGCTGTTTCTTGGCGAAATCGGCAAGCCGCTGCAAGAAATCATAGTTGTGGCCAATGATTCTGGCGTCCATCTCCCAGTTCCAGATGAAGTCGAACTCGGGGTGGTCCTGGCTGAACTTCTGCACCGACAGCCACTGAGCAGAGTGCACGCTCTTCTCGTTATCGTCCGTCAGAGCAGTGTAGACGTTCCACACAGCCTGGTCGTTCCACAGCTTAGTGATGCCGTGGAACTCCAGGGGAACGTGCTCGTTGAGCACGTACTGGTAGGTGGCCTCGTCGTTCCAGATGTCAAGAGCCTGGTCGCGGACGTGGAGCAGCAGGAAGACCTGGTACTCACCGCCGGATCGGAGGGAAAGCTCGGAGATGAGGGAGCGAATGACCTGCTTGTCGTTCTCAGTGTACTTCTTGCCGGTGTAGGTTCGCAAGAGGACGGCGGTACGGGCGTCGGGTCCCGTCGCCGTGGCAGCCTTCGAGCCGCCCCCGAACTTGCCGAGACCGCGCTTCTCGGTTTTCTTTCCGGCCTCTTTGACCTCGTTGCCATACTTTTCTGCGATGTCGGGATAAGCGGTCTTTATGTATTCGTTGGGCTTGCCCTTGTCAAACCTGGCGGCGTTCTTTTCGATGCACTTCTCCTGGAGATCTCCCCAGTTGATATTGTCCCAATCGACGCGGAGACCAGCCTTGCTGAGCTGAGGCAGAAGACCGTAGGGGCCAAGTCTGGTCTCGCGTTCGTAGCAGATGTTGCCGTCCATGTTGAGGATGTCAAAGCCCCCAAAGCCCGGGTTAGGGAAGTTGGCGGGGTGACCCTTAAAAACCAGCAGATCCTCGACGGCCTCGCCAGTGGCACCGATGCATGGCACGTAGGGGGCGCGATGCGTCTTGTTCCACTCGGCGCTGTTGTAGTTGGGATAGGGGTTGAAGTAGACAGGGCGCTGGTTCGTATACGCCTCCTCTTGCGTGCCAGACTCTCGGAGGTTGGCAGCATGCTCGGCGGTCCTGTTGTCCCTGTCCTTCAAGGTGTTGAGCGTGTTACCGTAGATTGCATCGCTGCCGGGTAGCCTGTAAGAGTGTATCAAGTCAGTCTTTGGCTCTGGTTGACGTATAGGGGATAAATAAGGCAATACGTACTGCTTGGCGGCCTCGTACTCGCGCGCAAACTCGTCTCGCAGGTCCTGTTCGTGTCTCTCTCTCTCCTGCTTCTGCCTCTCCTCCTCCTCTTTCCTTTCTTCCTCCGACTTGGGCGGTTCAGGGGGCGCGGCAGCCTTATCGGGGGCGGGGACGGTGCCTTCGTGGTTCCAGGGGACGACGTGGTATCCAGTGGGAGCGCCGCGGGTCGCGAGGAAGTAAACGGAGATGATGGCGATGGCAAAGAAGAGCAGCGTCTTGGGACGGGCCCTCGGGGCGATGAAGCCTCTGTATGACTGTTGCTTGAGCATGGTCATCATTGCCAGCGCGGCGGCGGCGGCGGCAGCGGCGGGAGAACCGGTTTGATTAACAGGCGGCTTGAGACAGGTCGTCGTCGTCTATTCACTCGTCAGGCAAGTGATTGGGTGAGCGAATCGGAATGTATGCCTCGGCGCTATAGAGGCATGCTGCGGCGGCGGAAACACACGCACACACGATCAAAAGAATGACGAACTCGATGCGCAGAAATCTTGTCGAGGATGACGGTGCGTTGGTCTTCGCGATTCTCGTGGAGCTGATCGACAGACCTGGCCTAAACTGCAGGTACCAGGGGCTTGGCGAGATTGGATAAGACTCGGTATTAAAGATGAGCACACGGCTCCTATCAAAGAAGGCCTGGGTGGCTTTTTTTTTTTCCGGGATGTGGGTTTGAGCTTTGATGCAGATGTGATTGGGGGGGAGGGGGGGGGGACGTGGTCAAGCAAGATAGCGTGGGGAGAAGGCGCGGCGTCGGCAATATTCGAGACGAGGTGCGAAGCGGAACCACGAGAACGTCGACAAAGCGAACAGAGAACCAGAAACGCCGCTGGTTACAACGAATGCGCAGGTTTGCAGATGGAAGAAAAGAAGGGGTTGGAATGAAAAGGAGGGAAAGGTCTGCGGTGACGATGACGACGCAGATGGAGACGCCGAGAGGAGGATAGAAGACGAGGATGGAGGTTGAGCTCTGGGCGCGCTGGCAGGAGGGACAGGAGCGTACGGGGGAGGGCCACACGCCACACGCACGCGAGAGGCTGTTGGAAGGGGTCAAGCAAGGAAGTTTGAAAATAGGGAAGGGACTACCACCAATCACCAATCCCGTCGCTGCCTTGGTGCTCAGGGACGGGACGGGCAGGACGCCACTGGCCGCAGGGTACGTTGCTCTCCTGCTCCGTGTCTATACGGCTTTCAATCCCAACAAGAACCGGTCCAGCGCGCCATTCCATTCGCTCGCAGGCAAGATATTGGTGCGTTAAACTGGGTAGTAAGGGCAGGTGTACAGTATATGTCCGCAAGTCTCTTCAAGGGGGGAGGCCCCACGGATACCTGCAGATGGAAAACATACACAGCCGAGTGGCACCGGCCAACCAAATACCGAGTTACACTTTTAGCTGACAAGCCCGGCTGTGTGTAGATCACTACTAGTTACATGAAGAGACACTAATCCCGAGACATTTCCAAGATAGCCCACGGAACCAGCGCGCTTGTGGCGGCGCGGTGTTTGGTGGTGCAACCAACTCTAAGCAGTTCGTAGCTCCC